AATAAAATTTATATTATTTTATTCTTAAGTTTTAAAATATATTTGAATAAAATTTTATAAAAATTTAATGATTTTTTATTTAATTATAAGATAAAATACAAAGTTAAAAAAATTTCAAAAATATATGACACAAACTATAAATTAAGTTGCTTTCTTTTTTTTTCTATTTCTAAGAAAATTTGAATTTATTATTATAGTTTATTTTAACAAAGTTTTAATTATATTATATTTCTATAATAATAAACTTTCTTCTGATCATATTTACTTTGCTAAAAAAAATTTTTTTATGATAATTTTTGGCAAGAAAAAATGTTTTACACTCTTTATCACAAGTAAGCCTCAGCTCAAGAACTCAAGAACTTTTAAGACAACTGGTGCAATGGGATGAGACCTTTGGTCAAAGTCTATTCAAGTTTGGGAATCTTGCTTATCCTTCGGTTGCATGAGAAAAGGTCTGTGGCAGTTTTCTTTTCTTTTGTTTTCTTGTATCCCTTCTTTCATCTATTATAACATAAAAACTATCTATATCAATATCATTATATATGCTAAGTCAAATACTTTTCAAAAAATACACTCAAACAGAATTATTGAATCTATTGTTTATTTTAACACAACCTTTATATACAACCTTATCATGGTGACAACTACTGTGCTATTTTAAAATTTTTAAAACTTTTTGTCCAAAAAACTGAAATTAGTTTACTCCTTCAGATAATTGTTACTCTTCAATCATCCAATCAAATTTTGTCAAAACAATAAAGAAAAAACTGAGCCTGTTCAAATCAGTTTTTTAGCATAACAACAACAACAACAATAACAATTATAACAACAAACAATGTCATGTGTACTCTTTTATTTATAGTAACCAAAGAGTCGGAGAGATGGGACCACATGCCTGTTCAAGGACTTTTTTGGAGAAATAATTGGATTTCTACTTATAAATTTTATAGTTTATTCGACTTAATTTTAGTTTTAGTCACTGTTGTTATTTTCTTTTCATTTATTTTATATTCAAAAAATCAAAAGATTTCATAAAATTTTGTCAAGTAGGTAGGCATAGCCACTACTTTGCTATTTAACATTTTAATATTGCTTTTGAAATTTTTTTACAATATTAGTTAGATAGTAATCAAGTAGGCAAGCTAGCATTTAACTTGTTATATGCAATACGCACCCAAGAGATGTTGTTTCTTTCTCAATGTATACTTACAATATATAATAACAAATAAAGAAATGATGTTTACCTACTGGAAAAAATTCCCAAAAAAAGATTATATTATATTTCTAACTATTTTTTTTTGAAATATTAAGTGCAAATAACTATATCTTTTATTATATAGTTTCAATATACAAGGCATTAATGACCTATTATATACTGTATATCCATATATGGCAAAGTTGAATATTACAGTTAGCTAAGATTCATATATATTTTTATATGGATTATTATTCATATATTACCTTATTTCTGATATTCAGAAACCTATTACCTTGAACAATTTTTTATATGATATCAAAATGGAACCTATAGATTGTAGAAATCCTACTACTGGTTTTTAAACTATTTAACCTGTAATCTTTATCTGATTTTTTTGAATTATTATCTTTGAAGTTTAATTTTTTTAAAATTGTAATAAATAGTTGATATATTTATATCAATTTTGAAATATATTTTATTTGCAAAAGTAATTCTATAGTTTTGCAAATATAATATAGTTTGTTGTTATATTTTTTCTGAAAATAATATTGTAAGAATTTGTTTATAAAAAAAACAATAGATTAAAGTATAAATGGTATATACTGTATATACTGTATATTTAAGATATATTGTTTACATGATTAAATTTTAGATGAATTGCTTTTGTTTTGAAAAAGTTATCTATATTTACATCACATAAATAAAATTCCAAAAATTTTTGCAATATACTGTAAATATTACATATAAGTTTTCTTTTATAATTTAGTAACAATCAATAAAATCCAATTAAATTACATATCCGGTAAAAGTGACTTATAATAAAGCTGGTTTTACTGTAAGATATCAATTTGCAAATTACCGTATAATTCAAATACCATAATTAGGTATCAAATTATAAGTAAATATACATGTACTGTATATGATATAATAGACAGCATAATTTACGTATTTTATTTTATTTTATTTTAATATAAAGCATCGTTACACCTTACTATGTTCTTAATGGTAATTATAATACTGTAAAAATCGATACCGCATATACTGTATATAGATAGCATTTCCCATTAAATTTCATTCGATTTAGGAAAAAAAAACCGCTGATATAATGCTAAATCTCAATAAGGCATTTAAAAAAAGATTTTCTTGTCGTACCTTTTCGTTACCGTGCATCTATGACGCAAATTACTAAAATTACTTATTTTAAAATTATTTTATTAAACGATATCTTGGGCCATAGAAAGCCCAAAATTGTTTAAGAGATTAAACATAAAAGGTGTGCCGTAAATGAAAGATGGAAGGTTATTGAATAACCTACCGTTGATAGAAAGATAACCGTGATATTTATAATTCACTAATATTATTCGAAACAACGAGATTCGTCCCGAAATTACCAACAAGACTTTTCCAATAAATCTTAATTATAGAGAGAGGAATTGCATACATGAAATTAATTGTAATTAAAGGGGCATGAAGATATAATTATTCGGGTCATCGCATGCTAAATATTTATATTAAATGAAACTGATGAAAACTGTAATAAACGAGATTAAAACTTTTGTGTGCCAGAAAAAGAAGCGTATATGCTTATAATGAAACGGGTGTTTGATGTTTCAGGAAAAAAATTTAATATTTACACGAATTAATAATAACAAACCACTTAGAAGGAACATAAATAATTAAGAAAGAATGTTCATAATTTGTTTATAGTGTACAATGATTATGCGAAAATACGTTCATACAGGTATAGTAAATTACATTATAGTATCGTTGCAGCGGCTCAAAAGTAGTTAAAGTCTATAGTATTGACGTCTTCTATGGCGGCAGTAACGTCAGCGTGCTCGACACCTTTATCGAAATTTGTTTTTTTAATGTCTCACGTGTTCGCGTTAGATTTAGATATTACATTGTACTTAATTATTTACCTTTGATCACTTCTCTGACGAGGTCGCCAGGCATGTATTCCAAATCACTAGCAGTATCTCTAATAACAAGTTGTTTTCCAGGTGGAAGAGTTAGTCTAATCGCAAAGGAGACCAAAGAGGCAAATGTCGTAGTATCTGATACGGCAATTCTTTGTTTGTATACCCGAGACTTAGATCTTATGGTGATAGATTTTAAAGTGGGCAAAGTGTCTAAAGTTTTAGAAGGTGAGAGTGGTTCCGATCGTCTCGAGGTAAGATCAACTAATCAAACGTTGAAAGGAGGGAAAAAAGTTGGGCTTTAGTAGGGATTCTGTGTGCGAAATCATGAGCTTTTGTAACACAGACTTGACGAGCGACTCAGGATCTGCGGTGCTTCGATAATCGCGTAAACTCACCAACGTTGGAACTATCATTATTACTTTTACGATAGACAATCAATTGAACATCTTGTTTATTAAAGCTTGTCCAAAAATGAACAAACGCAGATTCATCGTTTAGTTCGTAGTGTTGTGAATCATCACGTGTGCCAATTCGATAATAGAGCCGAAGAACATCCACGCTTCCCCATGATAGGGGCACAGTGGCAGAAGAAATATTGTCGTATAACTGTTTTAAGTTTAACAAAGGCTCCACATACTTCAAATTATCGAGATTTATATTGGCACGCTGTTCCAGAATTGTTGTAGCATCGAAGCACAGCAATGATATCATCTTTGAATTCTTTTCTGGTATAATGAAAAATCGCTCTCAGATGGCTACGGTAATAAAAAAGTATATGAAATAGAGGTTTACCATCAATGTTTTCGTTTTCGTCAATGTTGGCGTGTTCATCAATAGTCAACAGGTTGGAAATTCTATTCGTGCTCTCGTTCGAGGAATCGAGCGAGACTTCAGTCTGTAAGGATTGTGTTAATGCGAGAGCTTCCTCTTCAATAAGCCTTAGCTCATCTAATGATTTCTTAATTAATGGGCCGAACACTGAGCCATCCCAGCCGTAGCCAAGTGCTAGGTTATAGGCTTGGATGTGCTGTAAATATTGTTCCAAAGATCCCGATTTTATATGTGCCTTGCGTTTAGCATCAATATATTCCTCAAGCGTTTCCCGCGTAATCGGGAAATAGCTGATCGATTGACCGGGATGTAAAGATTTTATGACGTTAATAAAATTCGTTACTCCAACCCGAGAAGCCCTCGTGTTAATGCTAGGCGATCTTTTTCCTCCTCCACGTTTTCGGTCATCTAATAGTTTAGACTGTTCTTCCTCAGCATGTTCTCTGATCGGTGGCATTCCCTCCCCTCTCCCTCAAGTAAAAGTATTAGATTAGTTACAATATCCAAGTAGAATTATTTATTACACTCTCAAGCAGAATATTAAATTAGTCAATTTCAAATATTATGTAAAGAATGAATTTTAATCAAAGAAGAAAATGAGAAATCTACAAGAGGAGGTGTCTCGAACCTCCATGGTATAAATACAATAAATCCTTAAATTACACTAACATATTGTTTAAAAGTAGAAGAGCATTATTTTCCCAGATATCACACTCTTATTACTCAAAATTTGGAAAAAAAAAAGCTTATTTAAGCCCGGGTACCCCAACGCCTTGTTGATAATTTAAATATCATAACATTATTATATCGGTAATTACCGACTTATTATCCGTTTTTTGGGGTTGTATAATGATTGTTTGATAACAATAAATAGGATTTACAGCCCACACATTATTTCACATATAGAGAAAAGAAGCAGAGCTTTAATTATATAAGTAAAATAAAAATGAGATACTTGTATGCAGACTTCTGTACTGTAAAACAAGAGCATTTGCACGCGTATAAATTTCCGTGTAATGTTTTGTGGTAGACACATCAAAGGGGAAGAGAAAGGTTTAATTAATTCCACGAGTTGGTAGTACTATGTTAAAATACTTAACTAGCAAGATGAACCCTGAACAATATTAATTTTTGTCTTTTTATTGTTCTCGTTTTGAATTTATATCTTTATTCTTTTGATTAGTTTTTGTTTCTTTTTAATTATTTCAACTATTCATTTTTTCTACGCAGAAACAATATTAATATTGTTTACATCGTCATTGTATATTGATTCGAACAAGATTTGTTATAAATCGGAACGTGGGTTTAGACTGCGCTGATGTGATTCTTTATTCAACCGCTAGAGTGCTTATACTTCGGTGAAAATATCTATGAGTATTTCCGTTCATAAAAGTATAAAATGGTTTTGCCGAATCCAAACTAGCCTTAAATTGAATAGTTTATGTACAGTATATATACCGTAACAAAACATGAATACTGTATGAGTAATATTTGTATCCTACAATGAAAAGCATTTAATGTTGAGTAATCAAGTTAAATCATTGCATAGATTATTATATTAAATAGGGTTTAAGCTTTTTTCGAACTCGGCTAATGCATTTAACAATCTGATTAAACAAGGTTTCATAGAATCATTCGATAAACATTTAATCATTCCTTTTTATATACAGTATATTCTTGAGTACAAAAAATTTACGCACGGATGTTTTCATAGTACTTAATAGTTCATACGTTTGTTCATTCCATTCGTATAAACATTTTTAAAGTCAAATCCATAAGGACATCGATTAGGAAAATCCGACGATACGAATTTTTTTAATTGAAACCTTGCATATACGTAAATACATGTTTGATATCTATTAAGAAAAGGTATATGAAGTAATATAAAATTTTGAATCCAAAGTCGTTATTAAGGTCACCAAATATGTAAAATGATTGATCTAACCAAATAACATTTATGCATTTAAGAATTTTTAATAAAAAAAAAAAGAAGAACTACAGAAACAAATATTTATATCCATTTTTAGCAAATAGACAATAGGTTTGTTTCGCAGTTCGATTCGAAAGATATATATATATTCATATTTATTTAAAAAAAACAATACTATAAATATGTAGGATTTCATAATTTCCAACGATAAAATTTGACTTTGACTTGGAGGGAGTACCTGTCAAATGGAATCAATAGATTTTTGATATGATATAACGATAACGATTTTAATTGTACTCATATGTTCCCTTGAAATTCTATTCAATTGCAAGTGTAATATAATACATTTAATATCAACAATATTTAATCAACATTTTGTATATGATTAAGCGCAATCGACAGTATTATCACAAAAGTTGTAAAATTCAAAATTATGTCAGAGACGGAAAATCTAACTATCATTGTTATCCATATACAGTATAATTTTTTTATCAACGGTATCATGTTTGTTTTAATTTAATTTAATTTTTTTGAAAAAAAATAAAAAACATATATGATTACTCTTTTTTAATCTTATCCTTATATTTACTATTTTAATCAATAAAAATTCTTTGAAAAAAAAATTTACGGTCTAACAGGCACATACTGTAGATATTGTATATTGAATCTAAAAACCGTTATAAATAAGAAATGAAAAAAATGATTCGTTTATCATAAACATAACACAAGCCTGTTTTTTCATTCGATGATTATATAATGCAGATCCGAAGTAACCGTTTATTGTTATGATTGTTGTTTAAATAACATTAAAATTCCAGGTTATATTTTACAATCGATTTTCAAGCACGCGAGGTATACTGTAAATAAATCATAAGGGGATACCTAATGATAATCTTATTAGGTGTAAAACACGTAATATGCATTAGAATATACAGAATGGTATACATATCAGATATGTAATCGATCTATTTTGAATTGATTGTTGGTTTACGTTAACAATGCGTGTAAATAAAGTTTTTGACTATTTGTTTTTTTTAAAAAAATTTTTTTTTAAATTGTCAAACTATTTAACCATATTCATTGTAACATTTTTCCCGATAAATATTAATAAAGAAATGTGTTCACATTTAAGGGGGTTTTGACATAATATCTTTATTCATTATGTATATTTTTCCGCTTTGAGAATAATGTGGGATAGATATTGAAATGTACTGTATATTCACAATTCATGAATAAATCGAACATTTACTGAAAATCGGAAAGAATGATTAATTACTGGATATCGTAAAAAATTTCTTTTAATGGATAAAATATTGTATGCTGTATGTATCCTAAGGTTTTTTGTTTTTTGAAAAAAATCCGACAATTAATAGATAGTGTATCCAGTATTGCACTAACAACTATACATATACTGTATATCTGTATACACAAAATAACTCGGAATTTTGTACTTGGAGGTTGCCGTGTACGGTGTTGCGTGAAAAACAATAATTTTTCTTATCATTATTTGCTAAGCATGACAACAAACAATCTGCACGTTCTTCAATGTAATAATATCAAGGAGATGAATTTTTATCAAAGACAGGATTAGATTAACCTTTTTCGTTGTTTTAGAGTGAGTTCGTCCGCGTGTGTATATACAGTATGTGGGGGTAGGTTACATTTGTCCTTTTTTAGTTCAGATGAAGGAATATACCCAGAAACTGCACATCTAGTTTAGTATTAATTAATTGAATGGCATCTTTGATATATCTTAAAACGGAGTCAGCGACAATCAAAAGCGATGACGATAACTGCAAGTTTTGGTCCGGAATAATAGGAGTCTTTTCATTAGGAAGGCTTTGTTTTTTTTTATGTATGTGTGTGTCAAGGGATACTAAATTTGTCATGTATAAAAAATTTTTTTCGTTACTGGAACAGATGAAAAAAATCATGTAGTTGTACAATAATTCGGAAATACTCGCAATAAAGATAATATAGATAGATAAGACCTTGTTAATAACAGTAATATTAAAATCAGGTGGATGTCTCGTTTTCAACGCTACACACCGAGATGAAATCGTTTTTACAGGATCTCGTGCTTATACACAAATGACAGCCGAAAGAAAGTTAGATTCGTGGTACCATGCCGTGCTTGGGATCATACTCATACTCTAAAACGTATTAAAGAGGTATGTTACTGTAAATTAGCTAACTTTTAAATTAATTAATAACAAACATTTTATAATATATTATAAAAATTAGAGTTAAGGTTATATACATTATCTTGATTTTGTACTACATAAAAAAACCACGTTTTTATAATTGACGTTTTAAACCTTCATTCGCCGGGGTCTTAATTCAAAGTGGGCTTCCCTTTATGTTTACAAGTACAAAAAAAAAAAAAGAAAGGATTCTTGCATTCATTTAACAGCCGAAACACCAATAATAGGGAACAGATAAACCGAGTCATACATTGATAATGAACTAAAGTGAATAAGGAAACGAATCTCGGTTATTTTTAATATTTCGGTCCCCTTTTCATGCTTAAAGGTTTCATTAAACGACGGAATAATATATTTCCATAACAGGTTTCTTAGAGCTTATTGAAAATCGGAAGACAGCGGAATAAAGATCAATCAAACAGGAGAATACCGAAGGAGCAGGGTAGACAATCGTGAGTGATAAGAAGAATAATCAATAATTCATGGTAACAAGGTACGAGGAAAGAAATGAAGATCTTTGGAAATTTCGGAATTGATTATCAATCGGTCATTCCATCGTTCAAAAGAGGATTAAAGTTCGCACGGGCATGAATGGAAATGCTTTTCTTGCGTAAATGTCTGCGATTGTTTTGCTCGCCGTAAAATCATTAAATAATAATAATAATAAATTAATTAATAAATAATAATAAATCTTAATATAGACATTGATCTAACCGAAAATCATGAATCGAACATCTTTATTTACGATTATAAATCACGAGTAAATCTAATGGCCTGCGCAACTTTATCCCTCATAATAAATGGTCGAACACAAATTGTGAATTAATTTAGAGAACAAGAAGTTTGAATCTTCCTTTATCAATTATGTACCTTTAAATTATAATGTGTCCCTTTTGAAACAACCTGTCCTCTCTTTTTACCTCTTGGATTGGATCAGAATGCTTGTATAACAAGTTATGTATTGCACACATATCCAGCATCAACATCACATATGCAATGGCCTCGCGAATATACGCATGCATGTAATCAAGCACGTACTTGTCACGAGAAACGCGTTAATACACTTTAATAAAGGACAATCTATTTTTTGGAATTAGCATGGAATGATCCGAGAAGGACAAAAAAAATCGGTCAAAATGAAGAAAAGATGATTTAATTTTCCTAAAGAAGAGACAAAAATTTCCCACAGCCTTTCATTCCAATTATTTTATGATAGGCGAATATCTTATCTCCGAAATCATAAAACTACGTGGATCCAACTTTTCTTTTATTCTTTTCTATATTAAATAATACATCGGTGACTTCCTAAGTGGTTTTGCTGAATAAGGCAATTGAAATACTCCGTCCCTCTGGAGAACACATCGGTTATATTACGATGGTATCAATTGATCAATTTATCCATGTATGTCAAACACGCTATAAGCTCATCCGTTTTTAGGTTTGAAGTTAAGCTAGTGTTTCTTCGCTAATATCAACAGCAAAATACGGGTGCATGCGGTATATGTATACTGGATAATGCCGTAGTATTGACGCATAGTTGAGATACATATGACATTTTCGGGAGATACCATTCAAACCCATTCCGTATATGGACGTAAAAAAGCAGAATTATAGTGAGGAGTTAGAAATGAACGCGATATAATTTGTAATATACAAATTTGGACGAATCAATTCTTATTGTGCGTATATTCCTTACGTATTTATACAACAAAACATGTTCACATGTCAAAAAACTCATTGAGCTGACAAAAAATAGAAAATTAAATAAATCTTTTTTTTTTTTTTTACCCTTATATACTAAATTTTCGTGTAACGCGCGTATATTTCACGGCTTTAATTCATAAAAAAAAGGGTTCGTGCAAAAAAGTAATAAAAAAAAAAACAAATAAAATCTAGGTTATCGACCCAATTCCCATGTTATACGGTTTATACGCCAACCCTGCATATGTTTGAGTTCTATTATAACTTCCATTAATATACTACAGTAACGTAATCATGCATAAATGATGACAATCTTTTATGCAAGGGTCCTACTAATTGGATCGGGCACAATCGAAATCAATTTCCATATTATAGAGAATAAGACTGTATGTGTGGCCCAATAGGTAATGCGGTGTTATTTATAGAATAACGTATGATTATGAGAAAATATATTTTGTGATGTACTGTACATACAGTATGTTGCCTAAAAGTGTGTGATTATATGCCTAAATCATACTAAAAGATACTGTAAACCTAAGCTGCATGATGTAGTAATAACATAGTTACAATAGGCACAACATATATATATATTCTTTTTCTTATATTAAGTTAAAATATACAGGGATATAATGGATTCTTTTCGTATTTGTCATATATAATGTGTACCTTTGTCATTTGGATAAAGTAAAGTGACCATTTATCATTCAAATAATAAATTTTTGTTTTATTGGTTTTCTTTTTTCCAAAAACAATCCAGCAGAATATACTGTGCATCCATTATTTAATTGTTTTACCATGTATTATTTTGACTTGGTAATTCTTTCAATCACTTTTTTAAAATCTTTAAATCTTTTTAAAATCATATTGAATATATTTCTTTCTTGTTAGTGATTGATATCGAGACCGCTAAAAGAATACAGGTCTCATGACAATTTTGTCACGACACTTGTGCATACATATTTGATTTTTTAATCTGTAATAAGGGTTTTTAGAATACAATTGGCATTTAAATGTATAATTGTAATTTGTTGCCTTTATTTGGGTGTGTTTCTCGAAAAACGAATAGGAAACACAATTTTTTAAAAAAATTTTCAATTTCACATTTGCGGTACGTTGTATATTTAAAACAATCTATTGAATCGCCTTTATTGCTACGAGTAGGTTCTTTAGTCAATTCATACTAAAATAGCATCAAAGCTCTTAGCTTGCAAGAAGTCTTCGTTTCATATTCACGGTACGATAGAATTGTCTTTATTGATACAAAAGATTCATGAATTAACCCATTCTGAAATAGTATCGGATTTTTAGAATACCCACTGTACAGTACACAGGATTCATTATTCCTTATATTAATAAAGTATAACACTGATGCCTCCATTCAATAGACACGGATTCGAAAAATAGAACTATGAGTAACCATTTTGAAATGTATCATATTAATACCGAATGCGGTATAACTTTTACCAACCCTCTTTTCTCTTATGTCCTTTCCGATTCTCACAAAATATTCACGCGACTCTGGTATATCTATCTATGGTATTTTATATTCCTGTTCAATTCAACTGGTTTGGTCGTTCTCTCCCGAATTGTTTACATCATCCCTTTCTTTCTTTCTTATCAGTGCATCTTTGTTTTAACCCTTAACCCCTTATAGAGAACACTTTCGACAATAGACAGTTCCAGTATAAAAAAATTCTCATTCAATTTGAAACTCATATCACAATATCACAATAGTATCTTGCTCTTCTCCCTCATTGCGAATCGGTGTCGACTTTACCTGTTAACGCACGATTCTTTCACATGAGAATGCGATTTATCTGTATGATTTCCTTTACACGATATTGTCTGCATGTAGCTTGAGTTTGTGAGTCTAGTCCGTCACGTATTTGATAACCCCGATTTTGTTATTTATTATGGTGAAATCACTGCAAAGAGTAATTGGTTTACTCAAACCTTTTTACAATTTTTAACTCATTGATATCGCCCATCAATCGTTTCCTATCATATCTACAGTATAATGTAATATTCTTCTCCAACAAAATAGAACGTGCCTTCTCACCTTATCAAGATGACAAAGTACTGCGAATTTTTAATAAAAAAACTTTCCTTTTAATACTCCACATATATAATAACAGATTTTGTGTTAAAAAAAAACCCCCCAAATTCACGCATCTATAATGCCACACGCTTTAACCACATAGATTCATTGCGCGTAAGCAAACTTGATAATCAGATAAGACTGTGTTTTTTTTGTAAGACTTATTCAAAAGCCCCAATCGTTTTTTTAATAGCTGTACCAACAGGTTTTTGGAGTGGTCCCTGATTGTATATGGCCAAGAATACATTCCTTACAGATCGTTTTCGACTTTAGTCTTTATTAACGATTGTACTTTCATCGGCTAAAAATCCAACCGCGAAGCCGGTATTTTCATGATTTTAAGCACGATACTATGTCGTAAAATGTTTAATGATACGAGCACTGTTACATTGGTTTGATTATTTTCTGCATCATCATTATTTATTGTACACACTGTTCTTCAATTATTTTATACTTGATCTCTTTTTACGAGATCAAAGTATATAAAAAGTCTCATGTTATTTCTACAAACTTTATCGAATGATCTGTTTTTTTAATGTACACTAGACATATACACACTGTATATTGTATATATTTTTTTACTAACTAAAAAAAATCCAAAAACAGAGTAACCTTTAAAATACTAATACTATGCAGGCATTTCTATGGAAGATCCTGTGCCGCCACAGTGTTCTTCTGAGTTTTATGTGTTATGGTCAAGAACCCATCGGAAGCGAGAGTATACTGTGTATGCTGATTTACTTGAGTAAAAAAAAATGCCAATATCATTATTTAAATGAGTTTTTTCGGAAGACAGGTATTGGCGACTACATTGAATTAGGTATGTAGATCACGTGACATGGTTTGATTTAAAGCATCTTATTTATGAGACATAACATCATGTATTAATCGTATGATGGTAAATATAAAGCGAAATAATGTTTCAAAAGGTTCTTACGCATAATAATAATAACAAGACAACCATAAAATTTGTGCCTTTTCCATAGGATTATAAATAATCAGAATAATTCCATATATGTATTTATTGAATTTTTATAATTTCAAATTACGTTTTTTATATTTATTGAATTTTTATAATTTTAAATTTTCGTTTTTGTATCAATAGCAACTCATTTTGAAACATCGTACGTTTTAGCCCTTTTATTGGTAACAGAATTTATATGAATTTGGATCCATACATTTATATTTTTGTTTTTTTCTGAACAACAAGGAATCGATAAACCCGAAAGAATAAAGTGCCCGGTTCGAATTGAACTATCCGCTTGTACAAAGTATTGAAAAGATATAGACTTGATAATTATTATCTTAGACATAGAGTTATGGATTGTTCTTATCATTATTAATTGATAACGGTTGCCAATAAGAAAAACAAAAACAAGTTGATATAATAACGGTGTTATTTTAAAAAATAATAAGAATAAAATCATAGATAACAAACATCTCATTTGCGATCACGTTGCTTAAAAGAAATAGCGAAAACAAGTTATCGATATAAAATATGATTAGAAACATTCAAATAAAAAGAAGTAACGATATCTACTGTCTTTTGATATTAATTGCAAGTCTGATAAAAATAACTTTATGAAAATGATAATCCACGACAATAATTAATACACACAGTATACGGATTATTGTCACAGTATCGTATACTAAATAATTTTAAATTTATTCTAACATTTTTTCAAAAAAGATTTAATTTTTTTATAGACAAATATTTAATTTAATTTATATTATACGATAAAAATAGTTGGCATGTTGTACCAAGCCTAATTAGGAATTTGATAAATCGGATTGATTAACAAGTAAGTCCTATTATCCTATTATACACGACAATCCACTTTATTTAGCTATTATAAATGAATGGTAATTGTTTTCGGATCCTCAAATCGCTGATTTATGGATACACATGCCATAAAAAAAAATTTTTTTTTAGGATCCTACAAATGAAAAACGATCACGGGTATTAATTATTAATGTAATTTAAAATTTTATGTTTTTATTGAAATAAAAATAAAATATTTATTGTTTTTTTTATTCTAATCAATAACATTTACCTACTTTTGTTACTTATTACTATTGATGTGGATTATTTCAATAACCTTTTCTCTTTACAATAGTAAATAAAATTGATATCCTGTGGCAAATTAAATTTAGGATATATTAATACAAGATTTATTCAATTGACTAGAACCATTTGAAGAAACACTTTTATTTAGAGAAATACAAATATCGAACATGACAAAAATCTGAAATAGATAAATAAATAAATAAATATACTATACATACATGTATATACAGTATATGTTGATTATAACTTAAAATAAAAATTTGTTGCAATAATATGATTACTAAATAACTTGAATTTCGCAATTCCTAGCTATAAATAATTTCAATCGAAAGATTTAATCTTCCAAAAATTATAGCTAATATATCACGTTACTATTAGAATTGTTAATATATAAAAAACCTATAATTATTAAATAGATTTCTCAATAATCATATAATTTCACGAAGTCAAGTCACAAACTAAAACCAAATCAACATTTTTCCTTCTCTTATTACTCTCTTAAAAAGTAATATATGTTGATACTAACATAACTGGTGGCTAACTATTGTTTATGTTTTTTTTTTTTCTTAAAAAAAATAATATTTTTATCACACATAAATTAATGGAAAATTCTTCAGTAGATATGTTTTTGTTTTTGATGTCGATCAAAGTTACTTTTATACCCGAAACGTTTTCCACATCCCTCAAATAAACATTGGAATGCTAGAAAAGAAGCAAAAAAAAAAACAGTGTTTAAGCGTTTTGTTAGTTATTCGTCATACAATTATTCATTAGTTCTCTAAAGAAACTTGGACCTACGTTTTTCTTTTGTATGCGAGACGCCGTGAATTCGCAATGCGCATGGACCCGTGAAAGATTTTCCGCAAATGTTGCATTTATGCCGTTCTTTGCGATTTTTCAATGTACCAGATATTTTCTTATAGGTATTCTGTTTGTTTTGTTCCACGGATATGGAATGTAAAATTGTTGAACCAAAAAGATCCATTGGCTGTTGAATTTGAGATTTTTCAAAAAACGCATCTGGTGACGAGGGCACCTTATCATAGGAATTATGTCCTTCTTGCTCCAAGGAAATGAAAGAAAAATCTGTTGGGTGGGGAGACTTTCCAAACAATACACAAGGTGACTGGACGTAGGCATCACGTTCTCGTTGCCCCATGAAAATAAAATGTGGATTCCCAAATAACCTTTCATGGTCGGTATAGAAATGTAAAGTTGGAAGTAATTGTTCATAGTTATAGGGAAATGTATCAAGAAAATTTGCAGCGTGTCTGGATGAAATTTGAAAATTTTTTTGGCGTTGACTCCGAGAAAACTGTCCCAAATTATTGTTTAACACTTCGAATAACATGGGTTCTTCTTTCTCACCAGGAGTATGGCTGATAGAATAAAAACTTGGAGTTGTCGTGCCAGAGAAATCTGTTGGGAATTGACTCTCATTGACTTGTTCTAAGTTGTAGGTATTTTCCAACAAATTCGGGCACTGCGCGTCAAAATTTGAAATTTCTGAGCTAAATAATTCAATTGTGTCTCGAGTTTTTTCGAAGTTAGCGTGCTGCAAATTTGTTCTTGAACTTGATCCCAAGTTGCTGTGGTCGCCGAAATTGTTGTGAATATAACGCGAGTCTGGTTTCATGCCGTAATGTTTTCGAAAGTCGTTAGAATCCATTGTATGAATAATTCAAAAGATAAAAGATATGAAAAACAATGGGCAAAACAGAAATGCTTTAGAAATAAAAATAATTATGATTGCTTTTATAGCAGATACGTGGGCGGAAGCACACACGAACACGCCAATCGTAGTCACGTTTTACACTTTTTTGGAGAGACAATGATACTATCCAGAAGGGTACCCAAAGGATTTGTTAAAAACCTTTAATCAATTAAAAATAAATTCTGTAGGGCTTTGACTGGATATAATTTAATTTTATATTTTTTGTCAGCTCAATGAGTTTTTTGACACGTGAACATGTTTTGTATAATACTAATCTTTAGCATATTGCTATTTTATGTTTACTAGGGCACGAGTCAACCAGGCGACAGGAAACCACGTGACCTCATCTTTTTATTTTATAGATTTATATTGTAAATCCCTGACTAAAGCACCTGGTCTTTACGGAAAATACAATGCATATACAATTTCTACTTTTACCAGGGATGATAAGGATTATTATACATGGGGTATTATATATATTCAGGAAAATATTAAGCAAGGTTTATCAAAGTCAAGATTTACAACTAAATAATTACAATCAAACGATTTACCAAAAATATGTTTCCTTTTTCAGTAAATGGATCCAGATCCGAATATTCTAGAAGTGATCACGGGTAGAGCTCGGATCCGAATATATACGTAATTGAATATTTTCATTAAAAAGTTTTTGAACACATTTTTAATTTATATTTTTAATAAAATTTTAAATGTGTTATTTGCTTAATAGATTTTTGTTAATACATTATTGAGATTTATTGAAATTCATTGTTATATCAAAACAAAATTGTTGTTATTATTATTTATTTTTTTGCAAATGGCATTAAATATATAATTTTATTTAAATAAAAATATTTATTATCATTACATTAATAATCTTTACATAAGTAAATTAATTGTGGCCTATTGCAATATAGGTGATATATAAAAATTTAAAAAATTTTCATAAAAAAAAAAAAGAAAAAGGATAAATAAAAGTTATCTTTTAGTTATTCTACTAATTACTTATATGAATTTATTATATAGTAGTAATAAAAAAATATATAATAAGATAAAAGAAGTTGGGTTTTGATATATGCTAAACCTGGTGATTAATTTTATTATTATAATATTGCCTATGAATCTTTTCTATATTGGAAGCTTGATTTCAATAAGATATAATCTTCTTATACCAATTTTTTGAAAAAGATAAACTAATTATTATTTTTTGAAATAATTAAAAATTGAAAAAATAAAATAAGAAAACAATTCCATAAAAGGTTTTCTTGAATATAATTAAATCAAAATTATTATTATTATTATTATTATTTTAATTATAAATAGATATTAAATATAAAACTTTATGTAAACAATAAGTTCATTTTTATTATATTAACAATCTTCTTAAATTATAGTATAGGCAAATTTGTCTACAAAAATATACAAATATATAAATATTTATAAAATTGACAATATTTATTAAAATATTATATATTATATATATATATATAAACTTTTAATATATTTTTATTAATTAAATTATATATATAGAATTTTAAAATTAATTATAATTTTATTTTATTTTCTAAATATTTCATTTGTTAATAAATTAAAATGATAATTTTATAAAAATTATAAATTAAACATTTGTATAACATTTTAAATTACTATATAAATAAATTATTTTGCAGGCAAATTTGCTTATGATTTCTTTTTTTTATTTTTTTAAGAAATTTATAATATTTATATTTGTTATTTTGATCAAAATTATAATATTGATAATGAAGAAACAAATTATATAATTGAAATAAGCAATAATAATAATAATAATATATATAATAAAAAATATATAAATATAACAAATAATAAATTAAGATTTATATTTATATTAAACTTTTTATCTTTTTAACATATATATTCTTTATATAAAGCATATACCTTATTGCCTTTCAATAATTTATAATAAAAAAATCCAATAATTTTTTATCTATTTTCTAAGTTTTTTTTTTTACAATTAATAGAAACTATAATACAAAATATCAATATTTATGCATTTATACAAAAAATAAAAATTAAAGATAAAACTACAAGTCATAAATGAGATCTATTAACTGTATCAGAATTTAAAATTTGACTAACTATTGTAATATATATAGGTATTTTTAAATTATTATCTATTCAAAATTATTGGAAGCAAGATATATTTTATTCATTTCATAAAATAACAAAATTCATAACTTTATTTTAATTTCAACAAATAAGTAATTTTAGAATAATTTTATTTTTTTATTAAAACTTTTTTACTAAAATATTTATTTTATAAATTAATATATTGAGCAATATATACATATATTATATTGTACAAAACTAAAAAGCAATAATATATTTATAAAATTAGAACCATTATCATTTCATATTTATATTATTTCATAACAACTTTATATATCTGTATCTAACTTTCAATAAATAAAATAATTGCATAGTTTTTAGAAAAAAGTGTATATACATTTTACATTAAAAATAAGCCAACATCTGAATGTTATAAAATTTTTTTTCTATGTAAATCAGGATATTATTATACTTGATTTTCGCCCAAAATCTTCAATACCCCTTGTCCAATTTTCACTAGCATTGATCCTTGAAATATTGGTTATTCTAGAATAGTCTTGTATTACATATCTATTACAACACCTTTGACATTTATTGTATCTATTGTATCTTTATCATTTCTAGAACATTTCTATTTTATTTTATCTTTACTTTCTATATTATCTTTACCAAAGTATTTATTTATATAAATGCTACTATAGTTGAATATTCTGATGAAAATAGTATTTATATCTTAGCTTATATTTTTACTATAGCATATATTTATCATGTATGAAAATATTATAACTCAAACATATACAGTATTAAAGACTTCAATTTTGCCTAGGAATTGGTAGGCTTGAACATATATTTTATCGAATAAATAACTTGATCTTTACAAAACAAATCACTATTGCCTCTTTTGCCTAACCTCATACACCTCAGAATTGTACTAATTTGTATGTTTCTAGAAACTTTAGCACACCACATTGGCCCTGTCTATCTAAAGTGCCTTCCTGCTATTAGTTCTCCGTTTTTATCTTTTTTCTGAGGTAGAAACGATATATGACAATATATATACTATATATATTTATGTTTTTTTTTTTAATCCCACAATCAGGTTAGTGTCATTTATTTATTAAATCTTAGAGAACTATTACATACATGAGAATATATACAAAATACAAATTTCTTCAACTCAACTTACCGGTCAACAGTCGAAATCTCCAAATGCAATTTATGGAAATGATAATTGTTTCTCTAAAGAATATGATTAAAATTATAAACTTTCAATAGAATCAAAACCTGCAAATCACCTTCACAGTTATGATCATAAATCCAAATTGTGTCACCTCTCTTGTAGAAATTATGCAAGGAAAAAAAGGAATAAAAAAGAAAATTTTTTAATAAGAAGAAAAGAAAAAAAAGTTATTATCTATTCTAACTATCATTGAAAAGGTTATCTCAGTAAACTTAAAATCCAAGCCTCTTATGATTTCTCATTTCTCACTACCTGTGACCAGTTAAACTGTTTAATTTCCAATGGAGTAGTCAATGTCCAAGAACATTTAAGAGCACTTTTAGAAGAGTATTTCTTGAAACTTTATACTTGAAAACTTCTAATCAGAAAAGATATTGGTTTTCTATTGTTGATTTTTTTTTCAAATCATGTTTTCTGGAATTATAGCTTCATTCAACCAGTGGATAGTTTCAAGATTTCTTTCTCTAACCATTTTCGAAATAAATATTGATACTTCAACTTGTTATCAGATTGGAATAGGACTTAGATCTTGTTGCTACTTCCTGTCCTCAAGAAAAAATAGAAAAGAAAAAAATAAAATAAAAGGATAGGAACAAAAAGGAGTCACTCCTCTTCTACTTACAACTTTAACTTTATCTAATACTCCTATACTACTCCTTCAACTAAAAACCATTTAACTCCTTCAGGAACTAATTATATCATTGGTTTGATGTTGTGCGACTGAAAACATGTGAGGAATATGTGTCTTGTTTACTTTTTCTGTAGCTGATATGATCAACCAATCCATGACCTTGACCAATCATCTTTCAGGAAATCTGATATAATCAAAAAATTTATGATCAAATAAAAAAAAAGGAAACATGCTTGAAAAAGAAGAAGTAGGAAGTCAAAGAGATAATAGAAAGACTGAAAACTTCTTTATTCTTGTTTTTCTAGATTCTTAAATCTTTTGGGAGTCTTTGGAAAATATTTTTTCTTGTCAGTTTTCTTTTTATAAAGGTGTTTTTGCCATAGACTTTTTAGGTAGGTTTCTTGTATTTAGTTACAAAAATAAACAAGAAAAGTGTTTTGAAAAAGAAAAATAAAACAAGTGATAGCTTCTGCTTGCTTAGCTGATTAAAACCAGTATTGTTTTTAAGAAAAGTGTATAGACTTTATTATTATAAAGACAAAAAATCTTTTGAAAACATTTGTTTTTTGGATTGGCAAAAGGATCAGCAGAAAGAGTCTGATCTATATATATTTATTTAGGTTTTTATTAAAAATTAAATCTTCAAATATTAATTTAATTTCTAACGTTAACAAAACTGATAGTGAAGTATATTATTTTATAAAACGACTTCCAATTCAAAAATCATTTAATATTTTTATAAATGATTATTTTTCTAGTATTGATTTATTTAGTTTTTTTTTGTGAAAAGAATTATAAAGTATGTAGCACTGTTTGTACAAATATAGCAAATTTTCTTATTATTTTAAAAAATAAAAAATAAAAATTCATTAAATTGAAATTATTTAAAAAAAATTGTTATTAAGAATGTTTTGATATTATTATAGATTGATAATGAACCAGTTACAATACTTACTACAATTTATTTATTGAGAAAAAAAATAGTAGAATTAAACAAAA